GTGTGTGTGTGTGTGTGTGTGTGTGCGTACGGTCTATTTCTGTGTCTGTGCACTGGTGTGTTGGATTTGTCGAGTTGGAGGACAGTGAGGAGATTTGTAGAAAGACCTTAAGGTATCATTTTGATCTGTGTTTGTGTGTTTGTACACGTTTTCAGGCGTTTCCATTCTATTTCCTCCACATGAGTATGTCTGGAGTCTGACGGGCTCTCAGTCTCTTTGGGCACGGGATGGCAAGAAAAGGTGCAACCATGGTAACCACGGGGTGTGTCACCCCGATGGTGGGGAAAGGTGTTGCCCGGGCAATATGTCTCAGTTGCTATGGACAGAACCAACACTTCAAGCATCATGACACAGAATCCCCTCAAACAATCTGACTGTGGTACTGATTCAGAGACATTACAAATAAAAAACTATTTTATCTAGTTTTTAAACTGAGTAAAGTCAGAGTTGTAGTATTTCATCTTCTTCCCGACCTTGGAAACCCCTCAGCTATACACTCGTACACCTTCATTTCCGTCATCCAAGCAGGAAGCCGCTGCTTTTATGTATGAAACTTCCACAGCATTGTTTCCTCGAGGAGAGCCCTGTCACTGTATCTGAAAACATCCTGTTACTCATGTCTGTAAAATGTGAAATGGCTCCATCCTCTCACACTAACGCTGATCTGTAACATTTACCACCTGATGCACCAAACAGATGAGTAACTTTCACTCTTTCATGATAGCAGGAGGTTAAACTCTAACTCTAACTAAAAGATGCAGTTCCCAACTTTCACGTTAAAGGAAACTGCATAAAACATGGACATGTGGCAGTTAAGTCAGCGAGGACGCATGTTTCAGGGGGATTATGTCTTCCCTCTGGGTGTTGGGTGACAGGCGGGAGGCGGAGCATACCGTCACACAGCGGAGATCTGAAAACACTTATCTCAGCACAGTGAGGGCAGGATCACACAGACTCCTTGTGTTTGCTGTGGAGGATTATCTCATTCTGTGGAAGATGGTTTTTATATTCAGCAGGTGGCTTCTTCCTCTGAAGTAAACTAGCTCAGGTTTCTGCAGCTTAGCTACTAATGCACTCTCCCCTTCCTTCTTTTTTTTTTTTTTGCTTTTGACGAATAAAATAACTGGACTGAGGCTTTTTATGTTGCGTTGTGCAGCTGACAACCTCGTGAAAGTGAGAGGAAGCCAAGGTTGGAGGTGACTGACGCTCTTCTTACCTTTTTTCACCTTCTTCTGCAGTTTGATGGTGTCTGACGATTTCTTCTTGATGTCTGCCCTGGCCTTTTTATACTCTTAAATAAAAAGAAAATGTGCAGAGAGTGAGGGAAATGGTTTTGTCTGTGCAGGTTTGTGTGTGTGAGCATGTGTGAGCATGTTTCATACCTTTGGCGTGATCTTTGTCCAGCTGACTGGCCACTTTTTTCCACTCCTCCATCTTCAACTCCAGTGGAGTGATGAGACTTTCTGAGAGAGCTCTGATAGAAAATCAAAATAAGAGTCTCAGTCATTAAATGTAAGCCCTTTGTTTTTTAATTAATCCTATAATCTTTAAGTCTAAGTTTAATTTGAGCTCATTATTCTCTGGCAGGTTGAATTTGATCTCATTAATTACCCCCGTGTCAAGGAGGTTACATTTTCACCTCGTCTAGTTCGTAAGCAAGATTACACAAACACTATTGAATAGATGAAGCTTTCTCAGATAATAATTAATGGATCTTGGTGGAAACACGGAGGCGTTTTTATGGAACTGACACACGAGTGGCTTTAGCTGAGGTTTGTGCTCTACTAGTTATTCAGGCAGTGCAATCATTTGCAATACTGGCTGTCACAACTACACAACGTACCTGTGTCACACATTTTATCTAATGTGTTAAGTCTGCATGAGCTAACATGCATGTGTGTGTGACTGCAGTTAAGTGCACAGGAGGACAAAGTTAAGGAGAGGACTCTGCAGTGTAATTTACAACAACACAGTTTGGATAATAACTATAATTTACACTGTTTGACGACCAAATCAGTGACTCAGATAACGGGATTAAACTGTGGACGTCTTGAAACGATGAGGTGTTTATGGTTCTTTGTCCGACTTATTGAAGCGACGGAGGCAGAAAACTAGAAGCACAATGTGGAGCAGTCAAGTTAAAAACGTAAGTTCTTCAATCCAACAAAACAGATGAAGACCTCAATGCTAAAACATATTTCAACATGTTTAACTGAACCCGATGTCGCAAACATCTTAGACGTCAAGCAATAAAATGTGTGTGTGTTTCTCTAATGAAAGACAGAAGGACAGAGACAAAGCAGCAGCGACAGTGATGACAAGTGAAACCAGGACAACCTGCAACTCCTGCACTCTCTCTGTCGCACGCACTCACTCACTCACACACGCACTCATGCAGAACGAGCGTACGTTAGTTATGAGTAATTATGGAGTCAAGTTCCCACATTGTCTGATGAGTTGTCATCACGCAATCATTTACACCTTCACCTGCTTCACTTGTAAATAACACCTGCAGCACAGCTGTGTGTGTGAGTGTGTGCGTGTGAGTGAGTGAGTGTGTGAGTATGTGCGTGTGAGTGTGAGCCTTACGTAGTGAACAGTTTGAGTTTGGACTCGATGCTGCGGTGTCTCATACACATCCTGGTTAGCGCTGAGCCAATCTCCTTCGTGGCACCTGGAAAACAAAACAACAGAACATTCACATGAGTTTTATTTTGAAAAGAACCCAAAATTGGCCTTGAAAAGAAAATAAAGCTCAGTTTGAAGCAATGAAACTACAAAATAAAATGCAAGCATATGGCAAAACTGGGTCTAATACATGTAAAGATTTTAAATATGAAAACTAAAATACTGTGAAGAAGAATTTGCTTATAAACAAATTAGGGCTGAAACAATTACTCAGAAAATCTGTGTGTGTGTGTGTGTGTGTGTGTGTGTGTGTGTGTGTGTGTGTGTGTGCTATCATTGCTTCACAAAGTGGTATTATGGAAAATCAATCTGATTAAGTTCGACGAGTGTTGTAATGTGTTTGGAAACAATGGGTGTGTGTTCGTGTCTCATTATGTTCACAAATGATGTAAGAGATCAGTGCGTTTCATAATCAGCCCCAGTTAATTGGATGCAACATTTTCACACACTGATGCACTTCCTGGGACAATACAAACTATTGTGACTACATGCAAACACACAACACACACCCCATGATTTTTCAATCAAACACATTATAACATCACTGCACATGATCACACACACACACACCTGAACTCATATTAGCTGCTGGACATTAAACATTTCTTCAAATGTGTTGGAAATGAAACTGAACTGTTGACAAAGCCAGTGAGAGAAGGAAAAGAGCTGCATCACTTCCACTGTGGGTCGTCTGGCATCTACACACACACACACACATATACACACACACACACACACACACACACACCGGTCTGTATGATACTTCTCACTCACACAAGATTTTGTTTCAAAAACTTAACCACTAAAATAATTTGCAGATTAATCAAAATACTTCTGATTTTCAGTCACGGGGACATTTGCTTGTTCACATCAGTCTGTGATGGAACAAAGTGACACAGCACATTTACACTGAAGAGTCTGAGCTGTTCACACTCACTTAACGTGAAGATCTAAATCTGAGAGCTGCACAGGGACGGAACACATGCGTGTGTGCACACACAGACAGACACAGACAGACAGACACACACAGACAGACACACACACACAGACAGACACACACAGACAGGCTGCAGTGCTGACTCACGGCTGAGTTACATAATGGAGGGAACAAGCAGTGAAAGATCAAGTGTGTGTTCGTCCGTCATCTCCAGTGATGTCAGGGTGAAACTAACTTTACACACTGACACTCGTTTTATCCAATCACTCCTTCCATCCCTCCCTCCTTCCCTTTCGGTTAACGTAGCAGGACTTCTCTCTCTTTTCTCTTTCCTTGGTTCCAACGAAAACTCATCGGTCCTCCATCTGCCTCTGTACGGCCTCTCCTCCCTCTCTCATTCCCTCTTTGTCCTCTAACCGTCCTCCTTCCCTTCTCTCTCTATCTCAATCCTTCACCCTTTTCCTTTCCTCCTCCATCCTGTCGAGACTCCTCAGAAACAAAACATTAATTATCACCTACACATGTGCAGAAATGTGGACACACACACACACACACACACACACACACACACACACACACACACACACAGGTATGCAGCTTGGGTTAATCGTTAAGGTGTGGCGAGGTGTGTTTGCTGTATTTGCCTCTCCCTCCCTTTTGCACTTAAAACCGAGCACAGAAAACATTTAAAGTCTTTAATGTTGCGATGACAGAGACGTCTTGATTGAGTAGATGTTCCGAAAGTTAGTCATGCAACCTTTTCAGAGACATGGTCCAAACCAGTGACCACAGTGGATAGGTGGACGTCACAACATTGTCTGAGACTGCCTGGCCAGTGTGTTTATAAGTGTGACAGTCAGTGTGTGTGTGTGTGTGTGTGTGTGTGTGTGTGTGTGTNGTGTGTGTGTGTGTGTGTGTGTGTGTGTGTGTGTGTGTGTGTGTGTGTGTGTGTGTGTGTGTGTGTTAGCCAGGTGCTGAGCACTGTGGGCGTTTGTTGTATTTGTGTTCAGACATGTTTAATGGATCTCAGAGTCAAGTGGAGATGACTTGAGAGAAAAATGTAACCTGACAAGATCAGACACACTTGGTTCAGGAGTCAGTTTGTTTTCGATTCCCAGAATTTGTTTTTGTTCTGGTTTTAATGTGCTGCTGATTTGCTTCTCTGGAAATGATCTGTCCACGACCAAAGAGAAGCGTGACATTGGATCATTCGTTCCTGAACACACTGCATGATCAAAAGATTGTTCACTGACCGTGTGCATCTGAGACATGAAAACAAAATCTGTTTATATACTTCCTCATAAAGCATTTGAAAAGCAGATCTTATATTTATTCTTGATGGGGAACTGTGTTATTTCACTCCATGTTCTCCGACTAGATTCCTGTTCTGCTGGTGCATCGCTACCTCACTTGGCACAGGAGCACTTCCTGTTGATGAAGCCACTGGCAGGAACCATGTGTCACGTCACACGTGTGACTGTGAACATGCTTTCACAGCATTTGCATCAAATGCAAACATCGCCACACAGCGCGAGGTCGAACAGTCCACAGGGCTCCTTAAACCTGCTGCCACAAAAGTGTCTTTACTAAGAGCTTTACTGACACATACTGATGAATAAACTGCAAACACAGATTCGTACTTTATCCGAGGAGACTCACACTGAACTCACACGTATGCGTTGGATTAATGTGTCATGCTAGCTATCAACACGAGAAATACAACAGATGGACACACAGGTTTAGTAGCTGCCTCGGCTTTCATAGGACAGGCAGACGTTTATGTAGCATAGATTTCTGTTGATGTCTTTTAAATGTGACTATTAATGCAATAGCTTTATTCTATGTTGTAGTTTTTAAACTAGTTAGATTTGCACCATTGTGTAAAACATTTTAAAAGATATGAATGATTTCACCTAAACGTCTGTGGGTGGAAAGAGAATAAGAGGAAAATAAAAAGCTGCTCCACTCGTTTATAATTTACCTCCATTTTCCAGCAACACAAGGTCCGATAGACAGAGAGAGAACTGTTCCCTCTCCTTCTAAACCCAAACTTTCCAGCTTGAATCTCCTCCTCACCGTTCATAATGTGGCCCTTTCAGAAACGCATGTGAGAGTGTGTGTGTGTGTGTGTGTTAATTTCTGTCGTTTTCTCCGCTCCCAGGTTGTTCCTGTTTTCTTTTCCTGTGAGTCGACTCCCTGGCGTCTCCCTGAATGTGAACATCTGCAAATAAACTTCTGTTCACTGCAAGAATTCATTTTCTTTCATGTGGAATTCATGTGCAGGTACTGTTTTCTCCTCGAAGCGGAGCACTCGCTGCCGTCGCTGCAGTTCGTGTCTCTCACACATGTAGCTGGCGGCAGCATTATAGCATTAGCATGCCTAATAGGCTCTAATTTGTGAGTGTGTGTTTGTGTCTGAGAAACGATGCAGAACTCCTGGACATGATTTATTCCTCTGCAGTACAAGTAAAACCTTAGTGTATAGCCAGTCTGGGGGATTCCTCCTTTGTAGCTCTCTGATTGTGCATCAAATCCAGACTGATCACAAAGACAACAACTCCAGTCTGCAACAATACCAGCCCCCAACTCCTCTCTCTATCTTTATATCGATTAACTGACCGGCTGACCAGTCAATCAGTCAGTCAGGAAGGGGGGGGGGCAAACCGATTCCAGGCTCCTCATTTCTGCTAATTCTGCAGCAAACTGACAGACACACACACACACACACACACAGCTGACCTTAGGAAACTAGATAAAGTCAGCACCCAGTAGGTCGTCTTGTGATCTGTGTGTGTGTGTGTGTCTGTTTGTGTTTGCGTGTGTGCTTTGAAAGCCACATGATGCCCAAGACGTCAACAGTTCCTCGGCTGCCGGGGAAACCAGTCATGAGGAATCACCAGAGAGGAGACAAGAGGACCCTGCTTTCAAAATCAGCTGATTGCGACAAGATTTATTTAAGATTTATTTTTAGATCTGGTTCTGTTCTAATTATCACTGATGTCTGCAGTTTTCTACAGAGGTCACTTCGTCTGTTTGAACTGAAGCTACCATGCTAACCCTGAGTTTTTCCTTGAAACCAACAGGGAACCTGCTTGGGATTTTTTTTAGGTGCCATGTGGCTCTCGCTGTAAAAAAAAAATACTTGCCCGCACTGACACAGCATGAAGAACACAGTCGGTCTGAGGCATAAAAAAACACTGATCAACTGCAGTGAAACACATTTTGACACATTCTCACATGGAGAAGCTCCCGCGTGACCTGTATAATATCACTGGCGTGCCCGGATGTCCTCCTGTCAGTCTGTCTATCCTGATAAACAATCTTCAAACATGCCGTGTTTTCCAGCAAGATGAGAACACGGACTTAACCATGGCAACCAACCACGGAACCCAGAGAGACCCACCAGACCGGTTCTGACACACAGAGACACATGCGCCCACACAAAGTTCCCTGTGGGTGTTTCTGAGAGGCTGAAGAAAACATTTAAGGGTTTTTCAATGCTGAAAGGATTTATCAACACAAAGAGTGTGTGTGTGTGTGTGTGTGTGTGTGTGTGTGTGTGTGTGAGATCTATTGGCCTTCCTTAAATTCAGCTCTTCTTTTGTCTTTGTCACACTCAGCAGCTGACAGACATAAGAAGCTGGAGAGAGAGAATAGTGCACGGGGAGGCAGCTGTCAAAACACAGGTGCACGTGAATGCACACATGCACTCGCACTGACACACACACACACACACACACTGACACACACACTGACACACACACACCAGTGGAATGTGCTTGGTCAACAAATGGTCTGCAAAGGCTGTGATATCGCTGCACTGAGCAAACTGCTAACAGATGACAACAGTCCTGTGTCCACTGCGGAGCCAAGCAAGGTTAAACCTGTTGATTTTTCTAGATTTATCTGCAAATTATTAACAATCAAATTAATAAGAAAAAGTGTGAAAAACGCCAGCAGCTGATATCCTCACGTGTCTTGTCCAGTATGAGAAAGTGTGTGTGAGTCTAAATCAGAGATAAACATGTTGACACCTTGCGGTGGGGGTGAAGCGTCGCTCTTTAATGCGATGACTTGCAGAACGTGACCCAAACTTCCCTGCAGCCGTTGACTGGACATGAACTTTCTGTATCTGCGTGTTTTAAATTCCTGGATCCGTCAACCTGCTCGGTCACTGCAGGTTAAAGTCTGCCAGCACCAAACTGAAGCTACATAGTTGTGTTCTCTGCTCGCGTTTCTTAATGTGTGTTCCCTCTGTTCTGATAAACCAACATTGACACAAGACGTGACGGAGCAGGCCTCCACGGTGGGGAGCGGCCATGATTCACCTCCCACACACACACCCACATGTTACTGGATTCCCTTTAAATACCAACTGAATTCTGGGTTACATAATCATACCAGCAGATGACTGTCTTAACAAAGCACCAACACACTTGGTCTGGTTGTCTCTGCATCCCCTGTGAATCTATTCAGTCTGTCGGCATCACCCGGCCTCATTGCTGATAACGTTGTGCACATGAGGTTTTGTTAATGTCAGAAGTCGCTCAGCAATAAAAATGTTTTATGTCTTCGTCGGGTCAGAAGTCTACAAGTCTGAAAATGAAAGAATCTGCTTGTCCGGAGGAAGTGAGGGAGAGGAGTGAGCTTATCAGACGACTGTAGCTCTTCATCCCTGTGAGAGGCAATGGCCTCCAGGCTACATTAGCAGCTACTAGCAAACCACAACCAACTCCTGCTCTTCTTCTTCTTCTTCTTTGAGGTTTTATGGCAACTAGCATCCAAAGCTTTACATTACTGCCTTAAACGCTCCCTGTCCAAAACCACAGACTGTATAAAAAGACAGACAATGCATCTCCACTTCCTTCAGTTGCACAATAACAAAGCTAAAATGTGAGAGAAAGAGGTGCCGCCATTTTAAACTTCTTGATGTCAGTTGGAGCTCCGAGCTGTGTCCCAATTCAGGGGGATGCATCCGTCGGAGGACTCAGCCTATGAAAGCGTGGCCTCCAGAGACGGAGGAGCCTGCCGTGCTAAAGTGGTCTCCTGATGACTTGATGATTTATTTTTTTGCCAGATTGCCCCTCTCTTAAATTTGCAGCATTCACTCCATCTACGTAGCTTTTTTAATTATCTGACGATGTTACTGTGAAGCACTGTTTTAACATTGAAATGTCCCATACTTGTATATTTGTCGAGGACATGACCTCAATACTGAAACTGATTGTCGTATCCAATTCAGAATGCAAACGCAAACAAGAGCATTTCCCGTCATGTCAGATTACTTCAGCACTGAAGAGCTAAGGCCGACCTGCATTATGAAGTGTCTATGTGTGAATGATAGTGTGTGTAACTGAATCCAGGGCAAAACAAAGACAGCTGTACACGAGGTCTCATTGTGTCGCTTCAGAGAGCGAGAGAAAGGCAGCAACAGAAAAAGAAGAGAACAAGATGAATGTGCTGAAAAATGCCATGGTAATTTTCCTGGCACATTTCATCCTCCAGTAGCACAATCAATGGTTTGGCTGCATTATATTATTACAGACACGTGTGTGCACCAATAACTCCAGAAGTCCTCAGGGAGCGACTGGAGTTAATTAGTTCCCTCATGATGCAACTATTTATAATGAAGAGAGACAGTGAACGATCACACTGTGACAAGGAACTTTTCTCCTTGGTCACTTATATGATGCAAACAAATGTTTAAACACACACAGAGTGATTATTTTCCTGACTTGTAAGGTACAGTGCATATCTGTGTGTGTGTGTGTGTGTGTGTGTGTGTATGTGTGTTTGTTTACCTCTGGTCCCGGTTGCCATATCTGCCACCTTCTGAAAAGCATCCAGGAAGGCTCCAGTTACCACGATGGTTGTCCTGAATCAGAGAAAAACACCAAACACATATAAATCCACTGAATACAGAAGTATTTCATTTAAATAAATAATAAAAATGTGCCATATGAAGACATTCAGTTAAAACCGGGAACCAGTTTATTGAAAGTCAGAAGCGGCTTTCAGACATGCACTGAAATCTGGATATTTTCCAGAAAATTTCCGAAGGGGCTGAGAAGGAGGGAGAACAAAAAACCTCCCGAGTAAGTTTCTCCAAATATTTTCCCAAACTTTTCCTGCCAGCCCCCTAGGAAAACTATAACACATCCAAGTGAGCCTTTGTGACAGTACAGCAGGAAGATGTCCAGAGGTTTCACAGCCAGCATGTTGATGATGGTGTGGACAGAGATTATTAAATCTGCAGTAGTGTAGACGAGGCCGGTTTGTCCTGATGTTCATCAACTACTCTTGACAGGTATGAACACCTGAGGAAAGCAACACACATGCACGAGACAAACGTTCATATGACTGACGAGCTGTATCGTTGCAGGACAAACTGCAGATAACAATGTGAGTTACGTAACCTTTATTTGATTACAACTGGGCAGAGTGAACCATAAAAACACAAAAGAGTTTCTTCTCTGGTTCAGATCAAATAAACGCAGCGGGAGGCCGACCACAGTCCGCAGCAGAGGACTCATCACAAACAAACCTCCGCTCGGTTTTTAAAAAGAAAAATAAAGGACTTTTATTTTGGTAGCTGGATTGGTGCAGAGAGGCCCGTCACCCTCAAAGGCCAGAGTGTAACTGGATCCCTCCTCACACACACACATCATCATCATCAATGGACGTATTGTTTCTGTGTGTGTTCCATTACCAGTCAGGTCCATGTTTCTATAGCTGCACGCATGCACACGCGCACGCACACGCACACACACAGTCAGTAACCCTGAAAACCTAACTAAGAGGATCAGGTGACATTGCTGTCAATGGGTAATGTGTGCAGAAATACACTAAAACACACACACGCACCAAAATCTTCACAGTCAAGGTTTGCATTGTGTGCAGCGAAAAGGAAAAATCTCCAACTTTATCTTAGCCACAAAATAATCGAGAAAAGCACAAATGTCCTAGATGTGAACCAACAGTCGCAGAAGAAGACGCCAAAACTCTGGGGTTTAAACATCTGACGATCCCCGTCGGTGTTAACGATCCGGCAGCTCGCCCGGTCGCACGTTCATCAACAAAACACAAAAACTTCAATGGGTATCGAGAGAAGCTCTGGTGTGAAACTCAGAGCTGCATAGATCAGGTTCTGGATGACAAGTCAGGGTGGAGCTGCTAGTTGTGAAATTCTGCACCAGCATAATTTCTCATCACTGAATCTACGGAGGAACAACGGATCTCCGAGATACTCTGAACCACCTGTCTGCCGGGTTCTGATGAGGTGACCAGAGGAGAACAAAGTGTGGTCACAGTCACGGAGGGGCTGTATGTGAGAATGCAAAGTTTACGTCCGTTGCTCTGGACATTTTAAGTAACATTTCCTGCCCAGCACGGAAAACGTTTGGAAAATGTTTGAATGAGCCCGTGTGAGAATACAGCAAGAAAATGTTGAGTATGTTTCCAACGCGGATGGTTTTTGGATCTTTTGCTGATAAGCTCTGGCGCTGGTCTGATCATGTGATTTCCGCAGCATCTACTTCATGTTTTGCCTCCACGCCTGAATACTTTGGACATTTTCCTGTTGTTGTGAACGTGTCTGATCTGGACAATCTCCTGCTGTGAAAGATAACTTCTGGAAAAATGTCCAGACCCAATGTTCTGGACATTTTTACTGAGGTCATGTCTGAAAACAGTTTTATTTGATTTGGTGTTTTATTCTGTTTGCTCCTCTTTTAAGTTAACTGATAAATAAAAAAAAAATATTCATGGCATTTTCACTTTGGTGCATACAACTTCTGCAGAGTACGGCCACTACTTGCTTTTATTTTCAGAATGAGAGACTGATTAGAAGTGCATGATAGACACAGTTCAGGGTCTGGAGCCTAAAACCTTTGCACAGGACTGTCAACGATTTCATCTGCACAACAATAAACACCACAACCTCCAGATTTGTGTTGGGTGCTGCAAGATCCCAGCTCCCAGTCCTCTACACTCGTGACTCCAACCCATAGTTCTAACCACACTCACTGTTTGTCATTTCAACCACATCTGCTGTGTCTACATGTGTTTCTGTCTGAGGCCTTCAGACTCGTCTACAGACAAACTCATGGGAATCATATGACGGATACTTCTCGTCTGAGCCACAGCCGCTCTTTGACAATAATCTAATTAAATGTTCTCTGGGACAAATCTGTTTAGACTTCATTAAACTATGAAGAGTTATCTGATGAAGAGTTGAGTTCAATGAAGCTGGGGAGTATGGATTCAAGTCCAGAAAATCCTGCGTAACTATCCCAGAAATGTTCACTGGGTTTAAATAAACAATAAGCCGAACATAGTCAAGTTAATGTCTGTGTTTTTATGCATCTGATTTTAAAATCATTTTTATGGTGGTTTAATGAATAAACACAACAGTGGGGCTGGAGTCTTGATTAAAGCTTAATGTGTCTAAAGTGTGTGTCTGCATCTCTTAAGTAGCATTAAAGTGTAGTTTTAGTTTTATCAGTGTGGATGTCCTATTTGTGCCTACGTCTGTGTGTGTGTGTGTGTGTGTGTGTGTGTGTGTGTGTGTGTGTGTAGCTGGCTAATGGCCTGTAACTGGCTGCAGCAGGCACAGAGATGCTTATCAAAGTAAACTCGCCCACTGGGAAGCACAGCCATTATACTGTTATTAGACTGAGCCGACTACCGGGTCACTGTGTGGGTGACAGAGAGTCACAGTCAGAACACATGCAGCCTTCATGTAAAGCACCGAACATAACAATCACAGTACGTTTAGGACTGTTGGCAGGGTTACAGTCGGTCAGACCGGGCCAGTACACGCCCCTGAGGAAGTGTTTACAGTGATTACCTGCACCGAGGAGGTTATTTTTCCATTGTCATCTGTCTGTTGCAGAACTACACAAACACCGATGAGATTTTCATGAAGTTTGGTGGAGGGGTGGAGTATGAGCCAAGGAAGAACCCATTGAATTCTCGAGTGTATTTGATTTCCTCTAACATTGTGAGATTGGGCGTTACCCTGGGTGGAGGGATGGACTCTCTTAGTGACCTTCTACTTGTTTAAAATGTTTTAATAAAGCTGCCAATAACATACATGGATTCTCAGACCAATGACAAACATCCTACCGTTCCTGAGTCATGTTACATTAACACAAAAAGAATCAAAAGTACAGAATATTCACTGACTGAGATTTGGATTATTCAAAATCTAATAAAGGAAAACCTGAAAGAAACCAATAGTTTTGTCAGTGACACTATGCAGTTTTACTTGTCTTTAGATGTGATGAGATAACATATTCCCATGAATTTCATCTCAAAGATTACAAAGACACAGCGATGACATGAAAAAGTAATCCAACAGGAATGTGCACGCATTTGATTGGCCAGTAAAGCATTTTAGAAAATAACTAAATCTAAATTAAGCCAGATTAGTGTTTTTCACCGAACATCCCTATGCTGAGTGTTTTTGACCGAGTGCTGACGACCTGTGCGTGACCCCGACGCAGCTTTCAGACCAAATGTACAAAGACTTCGTGAGACAAGCCATTATGTCCAACTGAGAGATCAGCTCGGTTCTCTCCAGCGTGGCAGCAGACCAGTGGTTTTCAACCAGTTTGCACAGTGAGTTAAAGTAAACAGAACTTCAACCCCAAAATATATGGATCTCAATAACGTCCGACCAATGGGATTCAGGCACAGGAGGCAAGTGTCGTGTCACAAGAGAAGAGTGCACACGTCTACTCTTGACTCCCGGCAGAACACGAATAAAGAAACATATGCATGATAAAATAAAGTATTTAAAATACCAAGTTGGACAGTTAATAATGTGATGGTTTACATTTAGATGTAGCCTGTAGCCTCACAGTTAGCAGTTTGGTGCTGCACTTTGCCTGAGATTTGATCTCTATGATAATATTGACTTGAGGTTCAGTCTGGGGAAGGTTCTCTACGAGGTGATAATACATCTCTAATGACCCACTGAGTTTAAATGTGAATGCATGTGTGTCTTACCTGAGCTGTGACTGCAGTTTGGCTCCTTTGGTTACAAAGTCCTCCCATGTCGGATAACTGGCCTGCAGCGAACACAGATAACACCACAGACATTAAATCCACAATAGCATCACACCTACAAGTTTAACTGAGATACTAGAAATGGTCCTTCAACAATTTGTGCTTCATAACGATAAATCTCGGACGATTGTGTGTTAACGGACAACAGGAGAAATCTCTGAATATCACATTCCCCCACAGCTGAAGTATGAGTGTTTAAAACTGTGAGGGTCACTGGATTTAACGGATATGAATCAGAGATCAGATCGAAATGAAAATCAGATTATATGAAATCCACTAAATGCAATAAAAAACAAAGACATTAAGACAGGGCACAGAGGCTAAAAATAATGCAGAGCAAAGAAGGAGCAGGGCAGAGGGAGAAGAAACAAACGAAGAATGTCAAAAGAAATGAAAGTCATTTGACAGGAAGACATTAGGCTTTATATTCAAGTTTATGAGTATTATGTATAGTAAGCAGTATTTTTGTACTCTAAGTATCCAAGACAACAAACTGATAATCAAAATGTTTGCTTCACTCTCTGTCGACTCAGCTCTGGGTGTGACCTCTGCTTCTTTAACCGTGACTGAACATCACGTTCCTTTTACAGTTTTTGTTTCACCAGCAGCTCGGAACGGAACAGTGAAAGAAATCAACAGTCGACTGCGTTGTGTTATTTTTGGCTTCTCTGGGTTTCACGTGAACACAGATGTTGCCGGGTCTCGGGCGAGCCAACAACATACAGAGCCTATCACAAGCAAAACAGTGCTGCTGTCATCCGGCTGTGATCGATTTCCCCATGAAATCGTGTTTTTTTTGTTCAAAGTCATCTCAGAAGTTCTGGGTTCATTTCAGTTTTATATCTGGCGTGAATTTCACTGGGGTAATAGAAGCATTCCCCTAAAGAATTAACTGAAATGTCAGAATAAAGAAAAAAATATGAGGGAATAAAGTCACGACAGAATGATGTATGGGGGTGGGACCTACTTCTTCTTCTGTTATAGATTTGCTTGTATAATTGATGAGTCAAGAATGAAAAAGGAGAAAAAAGCTCATCACAATCAGAGAGCTCAGGGTGATGTCTTCCGTTTGCTGGTTTTCTCTGATCGGTGTCTCAAAACTCAAGAATATTCAGTTTACAACATGAGACTCAAAAGCTATGAACCATCAGGGAAAGCTGGAAATAGAAAACTAATGATTGCGTATCTTATTAGCTGCTGATTAATTCTGTCGTTTGACTCATCATTTACTTTTTCGAATCTTGTCACATCCACACAGCTGACAAACACACACGTTCACATTTGACTACAGTGTCCACCTCAGAATATCATTAAAGCTCTCGAACAACGTTTCTACACTTTGCATGAGCTGTCAGAACTTCGGAAGAAGTCGGACCCACAAATAAATCCATGAAGTTTTTACAGTCCTTGGCATACGCTGCATATTTGCATGAAATATTGATAAAAAACAGAACAACACATTGAACATCTGTTGACATCTGTTGAAAAGCTGTACATGGAAAAATAATGCTATTACAGTCTTGAACAGAAATTAGATTATCTTAATCTGTAGGAGGCAAAATGCTAATCTGTCTTTTTGCAGCTGATTGATTATGTAATCTAAGGCTGCCCCGTGCTCCAGGGTCTGACCTTGGGTTACATCTGCGACCAACAGCTGCTGGTGTGTGTTCTGGTTGCTGAATTTAAAATGGTTGGAAATGAGGAGTGAATCCCACTTTCTCTCGCTTTGTTTTCCTGAACTCAGTCACCCTGTCTGTCCTCTGTCTCTGCTGGTCCACCCGAGAGAGAGGATAATACCGATTTAACCCTCAACACCACACCATTAGCCTCTTAGCTCCACACCGCTAAAGCTGTTAGCTGGCCCCTGCTTCACAGCTAGCCAGGCATGCACACGGCATGGGGCTGACAGGTTTACTAGCTGCAGGGATTTAGCACTGCATGATGAAATACTGCAGGTGACTGGCTGAATGCCTCTGTGAACAACTAACAGTAACCCTGCGATAAATGGAAGAGGAAGGAAATGAATAGGAAAGAGTTGCACTCCAAGAACTTAATCGATCCCCGCAGAGGAGGAAATAAGTTACGGCTAGAACAAAATGTGTCGTGAAACTAAATCTAAGATGAAGCACATTTGAAACTTGGAAGTAATTTTAAAGCATTGGTACGAAAAAAATTATGTTTTTGTTGTTGAAATCATCAATGAACTGATGGAACTGAGTAAATAAAGAATCCACAATATGTCGTAGTCTTTCCGAAACTTTAACTCATGCTTCAGTTCTTTGGTTCAGTTTGATCTTCGATTCAAATCAAACTCTTATGATACCATTATATTTGCCAATGTATTAAAAAAACATCATCAGCTGCAAATTACATTTCACTCTGTTATTCATAAATAAACCAAAAAAGCAAACCAACGCTGATATCGATGTTATCAGTCAACTATTATCTATGATGTTATAAGAGCACTCAAGGTCACGGGGGGGGACTGTTGAGCTAAAAACCAAGATCACAAAATACAAAATGTCTCCGCTGCTTGGATTTCAGATCTCGCAATGCAGCTCTTGTTCCCTCACTTCTCGCCTAAACCTTAAATTCTGCCAGGATTTGTTGTGACTGCCAGGAATGTCACACTCAGTCGGAGACAAAATATACCAGCCCTGGCTCTCCAGCAGGCCGGGCTGAAAACACCACAGAGAAGAGCGCCGGGCTCCAGCTCGGCACAGACAGCTTTAAAGCAGCGGTTGCTAAATTAGGGCCCCGGGCCCCACAAAGGTCACTCACGGCGTCCGCGGGGTTCCCAGAGACAGCTGCAAACAAAACAGCCGTCGACCATCATCTGGCTGGACGGAAACATTTACATCTTTGCTCTGCTATGTTTCTAGAGACAGAGGGAGAACATCTACTTAGTGAGATGTTAGTCTGAGAGAACAGTCGGGGGTTTGATTTGATTATTGTTTTCCAGGAGGTGAATAGACGGGTCCTGTCTCAAATATGTGTCTATCAAACCTTTTAAAGTTTTCCGACGACAGCAGGAAGCTCTGTCAGGTCATCTATGCAGAGAGCGCACCACACATTCACCACTCTGATGAATTTCCAGGTTCAACTCTTGGACAGGTCTTGGAAACTTGTGGTGGGCACTTGTCTTACACAGTGTTTCAGTCATTAATCTCAACCAGCTTTTTACCTAAAACACCGTAGAGCCGAGTGGAAACCGTCACGTGCTCCAGTAGCAGTGACACAGTAAACCCATTCACTCAGCGCCGGCTCTGTGTATAGAAGACATACAGCGCTGTTATCTTATCTGCTTAGTCAACCAGACAGCATGACCAGGTATACAGTTACTTTAGTCAGTGTGTGTAGTCGTTAATCCTACCCTGATAATTCCGACTTGCTCTACTGACCAGCAAAGGGACAGAGATGAAGACAGAGCTATAACGGAGGGACTGACGAGACAAGAATACTTTCCTGAGTCCAGACTGACTCGACAAAGACCAAGTCAACTAGTCAGAGAGTGAGCTGCCAATTCATTCAAAGAGCCATGTTTGGATCTGAGAGGAACAATTATTGTTCTTCTTCATGTGTTTCCTTGGTTAATTGATTAAATGTTGGGTCTAAAGTGTAAAAGTGAAACGAACAGAGGGAAAACCATTTTCATTGTTAACTAGTGTGTGTTTTTAAGTCCTGTTTAACTCCTCATCTTGTACAAAATCATGCTAAGATATTCTGCATGCAAGTGTCACTATCCAGGGATCAAAACGCGGAGCTCTGGTATCAAGGTTAATGAATGGATTATAGGTTTTCAAATTTGGGGGGAATTGTATTTAAATGATCCGCTACTGATTCTTAAAATACAGACACAGAATTTTATTTAACATGTACATTTGCCCTCAATGTTATGTTTTACTTTGTTGGCTAGTTTTAAGTGGAAACTTAATTATTGCAAATGTGAACAGAACAGTTGATAATTATCTTCATAGCTTTGGAGATGGCTGCTTACATTATCCACCTACCTGTTGAAATCTTGAACATGTGAACCTGCTGCAGCTCCTCTGCAGCCCAACCTGTGCTCCTCTTAAAGATAAACGTTATCTCACAGAAGTATAATCCCCTCACGTCTCACCTGACACTTTCACCGTGCAGCAGCCAAACACATGATAATAATGAGCCAGAAAACAAAAACTGCTGTTCCACTTCTTTACCAGACACAAAACAAATCTCTTTCACCGCAACCAGAGGTTATTTCTTAATCTGATGTTCCATGTAACAGAACTAAAGCTGGTGACGACAGACAATGGAAGTCTGTCATCGAGCGTTTTATCTTACACTTCTCTCTGAATTGTTGGAGGAGGGGAATTTGCCATGTCTGTAGTGACAGGGAATATTAATGATCCTCTTATCATAAATCAAAGTCTCACAGAGCGGAGAAGCATTTGCTCAAAGAATGCGGCCGCGCAAATTCCTCAAAAACCAGTTTCAGAGTGAAACCAATTACACAAGACAGAGGTTCACTATAAAACTATCACCAAGGTTACGGCCATTTCGGAGAATAACATTTTGCATACACCCTCATAAAATATAAATATGTCAATACAACACAATACATTGCAACAGCCCCACAAATTGAAGTTTTCAGTAAACTTTAGTCAAACCGGAGGGAACTAGTTCATATGCTGGGGACTATTTTCAGCAGCGGATTAATACACTAATTTGGTGCTTAAGGGGGCTTTCACACCTGCCTCGTTTGGCCCAGACATTCTGACCTTTCAGTTTAGTCTAATCCAAAACAAGGGGCATGAACGGTAACTCAGACCATGGTCTGGACCAACGGACCAGAAATTAGTCCAAACCAAAAGAGGCGGTTTCGGCCTGCAGCAAACTAAACCCCTGTTCTGTTCTGGGATCTTGCCCATGGACACTTCCACATGTGAAATGCGGTGGGAGTCTGGAATTGAACCGTCGACAGATAAGCGGGTGGCCCCCCTCGGCCTCCTGAGCCACAACC